TCGTATGAGGGCGTGGTGGGGCCATGTACGCTGTAGAGCTCTGGTCCCGGCTGCCGATACGGATGTGGTGATGGTATTGGTGCCTGTGAATACGCCGGACTCGACTGGGATGAACTCCCACTCCCACTAATGCTCGCGTAGCTCGGACTAGCGTGTATAGGTGGCGCTTGAGGTGGTGGCATGGAAGGTGGCATGGAAAAATGCGGTGATGGCTCATATGACGATGTAGGTGTGTAGATCGAGGTCTCATAATCAGATGTGCACATTTGGGGACGCGATTCGGGTCGGGTGAGTTCAGGCAAAGGGTGAAAACCAGGTTGGTCTGGGGCGGGAGTGCTAGATTGAGAATGTGTGGGTGCTGTGGTGGGAGCGTTGTACTTCTTCGACGAGGAGCCGCGGTGGAGGGTGGAATCCGTGCGTGGACGACCACGGATCGGAACCTGTCCTGCGTCTCTCTCGGCAAGGGAGGAACTTTCCGATGCACTGGACAAGTCTATCATCGTCGAAACCGGCCGTTGCTTGACTTTGGCTTTAGGCATCGAGATTGACGCTTTAGGCGTGGTCTCGACCCTTGGCTCTGTTGATTGATGCGACGCCTTGACGCCTACGCCGACGTAAGGTAGCTCGAAATCATCCGCGAAGCTATTGGGATCGGGAGAATCATCGCGCTTCCTCTTCGCACCGATAGCCAAATGGGGGTGGGTCACGGTGTCTTCCCCGGCACGCTTCGCCTCTGCCTTTGTCTTCAGTAATGTGACAATTTTCACGGCTTCGGAGAGTTCTTTGCCATCATCTTGTTTAGGCCTCCTCCCAGAACCTGTTCGCGTATCCCGCATAATATCGATTGCCGCAGCGACATCTGCCATTGCCACGCCAGAGGACGCGCCTGAAGGGTGGGCAATGACCGCACACGCCATCATCACAGCCGTGTCGAACAATGTACGGCCGAAAGAATAGAATAAGAAAGCAGCAGGCTGCGCGTGTCGCCAAGTTGAGTGGAGGATACGCATGGCTTGAAGAATGGTGTGCCCTGCATCAACGACGCTTGATACGACACGGCGAGGAAGGCCATCTGCGGATGGCACACTGCAATTCTTGAGGTATGGAAGGAATACCTTCAAGATAAGCTGATTGGCGATGATCGCGAGCTCGCAACGCTGGGCTTGGAGATTTGGTGAGACAGAAGCTTTGGAGGGTGGCGAAGGAGCGTCGGTACTGCTGGTGTCAAAGCGGAACACTTTTGGGAGCTCTGATAACCAAATTTTAACTTCGGACTCCAGTTGTTCCGCACGCTCAACCGAAGACTCTGATGAATCGTTAGGGACGTCGCGAACATAACGTCTCTTTACGCTCTTCACAAGCTGCGCAAGACTTGGGGACACATGAGAAATCAGAATAGGGTGTAGAGGAGCACAAGCACGAACCGACACTTCTGGATAAAGTAAGCAAAGCCGACTTCTGTCGGATCACCACCGGCTCGACGGGGGAGGGGTAGAGGTAGAGAGGTAGAGGACAGTCCGAACTGCTCCTCATCCACATCAGCGGGTAGCTTCGTAGTAAATGTCCCATCTTGTATGGAAGGTGCCTGACCAATGGCGTCGGAGACAAAGCTGCAAATCAGGGTTGAGAGGTCATGAACAAGCAGGACGTGGGGCGACCTACACATCGTAATAATATATATCCCACCAAATACGTCTCCGTTGCTCAGCTTCGAAGAGGTTGTACTTGCCAGGGAACTCGTCAGGATCCGTAGAAAGGCCCATCATTTGGCCAATATGGACCACTTTCCCCAAAAGCGGATAAAGAAAATGTGCGACGCGGGACCGACTATCATGGAGCAAGTAGATGATCTGCAGAAGGTACGTGATCACTGCGTCCAGGTCGTATGTATGCACCATCTCAAAAGCGGTCATAGCTTGTCTTGACAACGCAAATAGTCCCGAAGCAGAGTACTTATTCCAAGCAGCAGCTTTTTGGGAAGAAGTAGCACGGTTATCCTCCAGACGAGGATTTTTCGACGCTACGCCTGCCTTTTGAGTATCAATGTCGCTGGTTGTCTCGTTTTCCTTGCAGACTAAACACCCAGAGCATATGCGACCGAGACAGAGGCAAAGAAAGACAATGTAGGAGCAGGTCGTGGTCCTGGGGTAACGGGAGTCTGCGCGCAAGTAGTCGGGAAGAAAATAGACCTCGCTAGATCAGCCTTCGCGTTTGCATTACTTGCACTTGTTCCAGCGGCGCCTCGCCCGTCCTCCTCTTTAGCCCAGGTAAACATGCTCTCTGTCCGAGCACGAAAATGCTTCACATTGAAGCACGGCCGCATCTTCATGGTCTGTTCGACAGCTGTGGCGATACGAGACCGTATAGTGGGAGCGGAGGGCAACAACGCGACTAGAGAGGGCGTGACAGCTGTCTGAGAAGTGGATGTCGGGTAATAAATACTGAATGCTGGAACCATAGCTGGAAACGCCGGCTCGTCATGAATCGCTAGCTCTGTTGAAAGGGGCTCTAATTTGACAGGGGCAGAAGGTGAAGAGGAGCCGGGAGGAAACGATGCATTTGTCTCGACGGGATATGAGCGAGGGAACTCTAGGTGCTCTAGCCAAAGCGCGGCGACGTCGTCAAGGGAGACGGTGACAGAGGACCCAGAGCTGCCAACGGCGAGCATGATGTGGTCGTTATGGGGGAACGGGAAGTTGTCTGAGGAGGTGCTGGTAATTGTGGTCGGGACACGGAGCCCTCCCGCAAAGATCTGTGCGAGCTGAGACTCGACTATTTGGAGTCGATTGTGCAGCGACTGGACGTCACTGGGGGTGGGGAATGAGAATGAGAGGAGAGTATTGCAGTAATAGAGGACAAACATCTTCTCTGCCGCCGCAGCGGTGTATTGGCAGCGTTGAACGGTGTCCCGCTTTACGCAGGAACCGCAAGGATTACGTCTATCACACCTCAGCTTGAGACGCTTACACTAGGCACGATTAGAACGGGGACGAGTCGAGACCGTGCCGACGAACCTCTGCGCACACGACTGTTATACGCGAGCGTATATGCCTAGAAACGCGTGGCATTAGACAAAGCAAAAAGGAAGGGCGGAGGGGGAAGGGGCTGACAGTCCGTTTGAGAATTTGGGCGTCGAAGATTGTTGATTGGAAGAGGGGGGAGCGGTACCCGAGGGTGTTGCTGCGGTGGGAGCGGGATCGTCCATGGCGGGAGACGGTGCGTCCATTTTGGATGAGCGGGACTGCTGCACCGTACGAGAAGAAGAACGAAGGGAGAGGAAAGAGGAGGTAGGAGGTGGTGGTGGAAAGGAGAGAACGGGAGAGCTAAGCTAAGATTAAAGGAGGCAATTCGAGGCTATTACGTATTTAATTACGTGCACGTAACTGGTTAACTGACGACTAGCACTAGTTCTAGTCTACTCTCGTCCCTCAACGACCACCCTGATTAGCGGCGCTGTCACCTTTCTTGTCGCGTGGCTGTTGCCCTGTTCGTACACCCTCACCTTCAGTCCCTGACCGACTCCCTCCTCCATTCCGTCCACATACTTTTTCCCCTTCTTGCGTTCCACCTTTAGCTCCTCACTGCCCTCTAGTCCTTTCCACAGTCGTTCTTTGGCCTCCTTGTCGTCCCGAACAACCCACACCATTTCTCTCCGATGCTTTCCCTTGTCCTTCCAACTCGTTAAGACGCCGAGCATATCCAGACCCTTCTCTTGTAGCCACGCGACGCATGCCGCACCTAGCACCTTGCCACCCTTTTCGTCACCACCGGTGATCGCCTTGATACCTCTCGGCACGCTCGCCAATCCGACAACGAGAGTGCCCTTGGCATTCCAAGACGGCACGAACCGGTATTCTTTGTAGTCCCTCCGCAGAAGGTCGCGCGGTCCGAGATGGTCTATGCTGTCCTTCTTGGCCTCCAGTGTTTTTGTAAGTTCCTTTATCCCTTTCACTCCTTGGTTATCTGCGAGGGTGCCCACACCTACGCCCGGAAGCTCCGCTCTCTCGAGTAAAAATGGCGCGACTTCCCGATCCGCGACCTCTGCCTTCCCGCCAACCTTGAGTCCGCCAGTGTCAATCAGGATAGCGCTCAGCAGCAGCCGGGCGACCGCACGGCTCATACCCTCGGGCCACTCCTTCTTTATCAGTCGAGCAACCAGCGATGAGCACGAGCCCGTGGGCACTTCGATGATGCGTGGCGACGCATCAAGGTGATGCTTCTCGTCCTCGTGATGGTCTATGATCGCGACGACGCGTACACCCTCATAAGCCGCGAATCGTGCCGTGAGTGTATTGTGATCCACTAATGCATATTTCTCCGCGGGGGCCACGTTGGTTGGAAGTTCGTCGCCCGTGAGTAGATGCGATGGATCCACGCCACTGAAATCAAGCGCATACAGGTTTTCCGCGCGGAGAGAGATGTCGGCACGAGGCGTCTGTAGAAGCGGCACCGTTGATTGCCCGAGATGGTGGGTAGCGTACCATGCGTAGGCGACGGCACTTGCTAGCGAGTCAAGATCTGCAAATAGATTAGCTCGTTTCATCAGGAACAATGGCCAAGGCATACCGCCAGCCTCATTGCCTAAAGAAATCGTCCATCGATCATTTTGTGTATCACTCTTTCCTAAAGCCTGGAGATATCCGGATTTTTGTACCCGAAGGAATTCGGGAAGGTCTGACGGTGCCGAACTGGACTCCGCTGATACAATTGCCTCAGACATCGCTTGAACTTGTTTTGCGGGTATGCTTTTAATAATCGCCTGACAGAACCAACGACGTGAAGCTGGTGTCCGTAGTAGCAATGATCCACGGGAGAGAATTCGTATGGCTAGCCCCGGAATGGTAGCGTCAATAGTGCCCTTGACGTTATTGTATTAAGCCGACTATCAGAAGATGGTGGTGGTTATGATGGAAGCGCTACATGAACTGGACTGTCCGAGCTGCCTCTTTCGGCATCTTCTGTGCCATGCTTCGTTCTTATTGTTTTCACAAGAAAAAGAAAGGCGCTACCAGGGTTCGAACCTGGGTTAACGGAAATCAGCAAAGCAGTCAGAATCCGTTGTGATAGCCACTACACTATAGCGCCACCATAACGGTTTTAATTTCATATATTCACACGTTGAACGGGCCTCGTCCTCGCCAGCGCTTGCTGCATTGTTATCAGAATTTTTGTAGCGAACACTCTACAACTGGCGAATCACAGTATTGACGTGATACAATACGATGGCGTGGTGAAACGGTATCACTGGACAGACTCGCTTACCGTCTAGTCGTTATGGTCGCTGTTTAATACAACCTCCATCTCATTCATTTCCCCTCTCTCGCCCGCGCGCGACGAGAAGACCTCGCCGCCAGAAGCGAGAGAGTCTATCAGCAGAGCAAGGCGTGATTTGGTCATGCTCGGTTCCTTCAGATTGGCATGATGGGCAAAAAAAAAACGTAGAAGGGCGCGCACAAATAATGCCGCACCTTGCGAATTCGCTCGAGATCGTCACTGAACGCATCCGCCACGGACGCCATCCAAAATTGTCGGAATCGATCACGCAAAGCCTGCTCCTCTTCGGCCCGACCACCAGACCCTTCTGAAGGTAAGAATGGTGGCAGGTCGACGGGTGGTGGAGAAGGAGAAGGAGATCGGGCCTTGACGCGCTCGGAGCCCTGGGTTTTCACGAAGGGAACCCGAGATACAGCCGGTAGTGGTAGTGCATTGGACTCGTGAAGTGCATCGTCTTCCGAATCTGACGATGAAGGTGAAGATGAGGACGAGGACGGCTCCTCAGCTGAAGATGGCGTAGCTTGTTTTTTGAGAGGCGCCTTTTTGACCGGTGTTTCATCCGATGAGGCGGAATCTGAGGACGATGATGAAGACGAGGACGAGGCCAAGCGGCGTTTGCGCTTTCGATTACGCTTTCGTGGTGCCGTTGGTTTAGTCGTGGGCATATTGTGGTGGTGGATCGAGGGCGTCAAACACCAAACACCACGGACCACGTTCGTCCGCTTTCCGCATCGTCATGCTTCGATGGCCACCGACTTCTGGGCAAGCTCGCACAAGTAGGTTCCTGTACCTATCACTCGATCTTCGGATAACACGCTTTCGTAGCAAACGCTGGATTGTAGATCGTGCTACGCTCAAGCAGGCTCGTGCCGAAGATCTTCAATATGTCCACTCTCCGGACCACATCGACTTGCTGAACATTTATTTCGCGAATCGTGCGCCGCCTCGACTCACCCTACGAACGGATGCTTACGCACGGTGGCAGTCATCGGGATGTTGGGCAAAAAATTGTCCCTACGGCAAAGGGTCATTGCGACCGCGACGGTCTTTTTCAGGCGATTCTACGTCAAAAACCTGTACTGCGAGACGGACCCTTTTATCGTGATAGCTGCCTGCTGCTACGTCGCCGCAAAGGCAGAAGAATCCCCGGTCCACATAAAGAACGTCGTCTCCGAATCGCGCCTCATGTTCAGCCGTACGTCGGTGCCTGCTTCTTATCTCCACACACGCGAGCTCAACTGCGCGAGCAGAGGAGGGCTACGGCGTCAAGAATTTTCCCTCGGACAACTCGAAACTCGCGGAGATGGAGTTCTATCTCGTGAGCGACCTCGAGTGTGACCTGGTCGTGTTCCATCCGTACCGCACGCTCCTTACTCTGTGCGGGCGCGAGTCGGCCTGTGCGCTCGACACCGAAGCGGGGGAACTCGGCGTCGGGATCGACGGCGGTCCGCGATACTGGGGCACCGGCGAGGGGAGACTCGAGCTCGAAGAAGGGCCGCTGCAGACCGCATGGTACGTACATTCCGCACACCCTCCACGGGGGGGAGACCAACGCCATCACCAGGTTCATCATCAACGACACGTACCGCTCGGAGATCTGTCTCCTCTACCCGCCGCACATGATCGCCATCGCGGCGATCTACCTCACGCTCGTGCTGAACGACAAGACGCGCGAGGCGATCCAGGCGCACGGCGCGCCCGTGCCCCCGCCGCGCCGCTCCTCGCGCACGACCTCCGGCAGCGCGCACCGCAAGTCCGCGCCTGCGCAGCAGCAGGACTTTGTCGGCTTCATGGCGGGCCTCCGCGTGTCCCTGCCCACGGTCGCGATGATCGCGCAGGAGATCCTGTCGCTCTACACGCTCTGGGGACGCTACTCCGATACCCCGCCCGAGTCTGGGCTCGGTGGGAACGGCGCGGGGGAAAACAGCGGTGGCGGGGACGACGTCGTCACGCCAGCTTTCTTGACCCAGTTGTTGCTGCGCATGCGCGAGGCACGGCTCGCGGACCTTGCACATCCTGCGAGCGGCCAACCAGTGGCCGTGAATAAGAGACTTGAGAGGACACAAGCCGCCGGTTGACTTGATCGCGCTTAGTACAGACACTCCCCTATCGTCTCCATAGGTCATATATACTCAATGCTCTCCCACTCAATCAATAAAAATGGTTGTTTTCGACGGAAATACGTGAGTAACAGGACAAAATGAGTACATATACCAGTTCAGAGTCACCCACGGCTCGTATCGCTCGCAAATCTCCCGACGGTCTCAGCGACGTGGGTGATCCTCGAAGTCAGCAAACGGATCATCTGCGGTCTTCACCGGGTCGAGATCCTTTTTGTCGTTCTCGTCACCACCATACGCTGGCAGACTCCTGTCGAAAGGAGGCGGGGGACCGGGAGGCGGGGCGTAGGATTGGTTGTATTGCACCTCGGGGAGATTTAGATTGCTCTCGTCACCCGCCGCGTATCCAGGGCCTGCACCATACGCAGGAGCGTACGACGCGGGAAGGTGCTCGCGTCTAGCGCCAGAGACGAGGGCCGACTCTTGCTGAGCATAAGAAAAGGCGATAACGGAGAACAAGGACATGAGGGCTGCGAACACTTGTTAGGATATCTGCGAAGAGAAGATGTTGGTAGAAGCTACGCACCGATCTCGCCAATGAGCCAGGCTATCTCCGAGAAAGAGTCATGGTTCCAGGCACTCTTGCAGACTGAAAACGGAGTGAGCTGTGGCCTTGACGGTGACATACATCAAAAGTGACGAACATTTGGCGGCCTCATCTGGTTTGAGGTTGTCCCTGGGATCTGCGGACCAGATACCCCATCGGAAAACCACGTTCGCGCCTTGAGCAAGCACAGTACATTCGGAAATCAGGTCATTCTGTAAGATAATTATCAGCCAAAGAAACGGTAGTAACACCAAGTACAAACCTTCAGCATAAAATGGACAATCGTGCGTAACAGGCCGGCTGCAATCACGATGACGGTGGCCGCGATGGCCAGGAAAGAGAAGATGCGAATTAGGGCGAGACGTCTCTGCTCGACGGAATGAGCAAGAGACAACCGCTTTCAACAGATGGACATACGGTAACAGCTGCGACAATGCCGAATATGAATATGACGCAAGTTCCCATATACAATGAGCCAAGCACGATTGCGAACGTGGCGAGCCTCTTCTCATGCTCTGGCAGACAAAAGCTCAAAGGTGCCGCATCGAAAGGAAACGGAGAGGGACTTACGCGCCCGATCCGTACTGAGCTCTTGGAAGAGCGAGATCTGATCAAGGTGTCAGTCGCACGTTCTTCACCAGAATGCCAAGGCGCCCACTCACCGCACTTCGGTCGCAGAAAATACGCCAAGTCTGGTGAGCTTCTCACGAGATATAAGTCAGAGCCGAATTCTTACGATATAAGGGTCCAGATAGCCCCAAGGCTCGCGACTATATGCCACAGGGGTTGGGGCCGTTGAGCTGAGAATCAGGCGATAAAGGCGCAGCGGGTGAACATACGTGGAAGAACGGCTGATCGTAGACTTTGTTTTGTCACTCGGTTCACATATGCATATGGGGCCGGGTGGTCTACGAGCGTATTTTGGAACCCTCACGACGATTGGTGGAGGGGTTGGCTCACCTGCGTCGCTCATGGTGTGAAGAAGTCAAGAGTTAGGAGTAGTGCGGCTGTGATCAGTGGACGTGGAGTTATATAGAAGACAGCGGTGGCACTGGCACTAGGGCCGTTTCGGTGATGGTGATGAAGCAGGTGAAAGGTCAGTGCACAGGTTAATTGTTAGTGGTCGTGGGTTGTATCGAAGTGGGAGTCTACGAGGCGCCCATCGATGGTCTGCATCTGCCTCACTGCCAACACGATGTCACCATCGGTCTCACACTATCCGACAGATTTAGCCATTGGCCAAAGTGGCCCAGTGGCCTATATATTGACGTCCCAGCGCCTTGTGTCTGTGCCATCACCATCTGGTCTTTGGGTGCGGTGCAGTCCATTTATAGCTCAGACAGTTGTCCTTCCTTCATAATCAGTAGACAACGTCCTGGACCTGGGGGCAAAGTACCACCACTACTACTGTTGACTATTTTCTCTAGATTGACCGTCTTCGTCGAAGTCAGTCACTTAGAGAGAAGCGCCTCCGGAGCGCTCTAACTCAGCCAATCTGGCGTACTATAACAACGACACATTCAAGGCGAAATTCCCGAAAAGTTTATTTGATCGTTGCAGAATTTACTGCGGGCTTATCATACACGGTAGTAAAGCTCAGTGGTCCTCGGTGCTTTTATCCGGGCCGAGAATGAATGACGGACTCCACCCTGCCATGTCATGTCAGATTCTATGCCGTCAGGTGCTATCGCCATGGTGAGTAGATATCCCCACTCCCAGCGGTTCTAGCGCCAGCTGCCGTGAAGCAGCGTGTGGGTGCTACGATAGCCTGCCCGGCAGCTGAAAAATAATAATGTTTGGTGACCGATCTTGGTTCTTTACTCTTTGCTTGTTTCGATTTCGGTCGACCATGCAATGCAGCCGTACCTTCTACGGTGTTTGATAACGCCGTCATCCGTATTTTGTGTGCACGCCCGCCATTCAGAGTTGTGTTCACGTCGAATGTATTTGATGCGCGCTCACATCAGGAACCACGCTAACCAGGGACCCGGAGTGAAATAGATGGCGGACACGAAATGAGGCCAAGGCAAAAAACTATGCTATATTTGAGTTGCAAGTGAAGTCTCTAGGAGGAACGAAGGTGTGCGATATTGGTATATAGTGAATGAGTGTAAGTCGATGATGTGAACCTCGGAGCACATCCA